AGGAAGGCCATCGGGGGCGCGCGTCGAAGCGAAGGGAGCGCGCGTGGATCGACCGTCGTATACGCGCTTTTAGTCACATACGCGTGTCTTATTAGCTAAAATGAAAGCTGCACATAGCAACGGGTCTAGAAAACATTTTATTACACTGGCAAAACATTACACCGCTAAATAATCGGTACGAAATGGCACGAGGTATGCGTAGAAGACGTCTATAAAAACTGTGATTGTTTTAAGTCGAAAACATTGAGTCACGCCATTATTTCTGTACGAATGCATATTGTATACAAAAATACTTCGACAAAATGGCGAGGCGCACAGTGATTAGTCACAGCAGAACATATCACAGTTAAAAATAAGGTAGACGTAGTCAACGCAGACACGGCTCGACAAGTGTCATTTACGATCATGTAAGCGATGTTATCGCGTGCAGTTACTGAATTAAAATTAATGTAATTACGATATAATGGCAATATGGGGTCGACGAATCAGCTTGCGACACTCATATAATCACTCAAGACAGCGAGTTGATTAAATTCCATATCATTTAATGAAAACATATTAACTTTTTCGTGTCGCAGGGGTATTAAACTTACTATTTACAGTCAACTAATGAACTTCTCCCTATGGGCTCGAGCTGCCTAAGAACGATATATAACCTATCTTGTATACAATACCTTAATACAGTTAAGATTCCCGTGTAAACGCAGTAAAGGCAATGAAATAACATTAGTATAAATAAACGCATAATCACAAACAACGCACGTTAAATAATCACATAAACTTGTTATTTACCTTCCAGTAAAAACCAGAATATTACCACGCATATTTACAAATATCGATGCAATAGCAAACGGATAACGACGTAGAACAAAAGTCCATTCTATCACAATTAAAAAAAAAAAGAAGAAAAGCCTGCAGCACTTTACTTGCGTCCCACATGACCAAGAAAGCCCGTAAATAAGTTGTTTCTCACCTCTCGATCGTATCCATACGTCCCACAATATCTATCCCGAAAACATTTGAACACGAACTTCTAGAAGTCTCTCTCTGTCGAGAGAGAGGTCATCGACCAGCGTCATCGTTGACTAGTTGCCACACACGTCACTCAAGCCGTAGCAGGACTTGTTCCGCGAATCCACGTAAGTGTATCAATATCAGGCAAACACACACACGAAAAAAAAAAAAAAAAAAAAACAAGTCACGATTGCGGTGTTGAAAGAGAAACGCCGGGAAGGGAACAAGTCTCCAAACAACCCCCCACGAGGGGTGGTTCCCGTTTCGATCCATTCCCAATTCAACCTTCCCGTTTGTACCTTCCAGTTTCGACCCGGCTTAAAACGACCCTCTCGTTTCATCCTTTCGCCCCATTAAAAAGCAACCTTCCCGCTTCGGCCATCGTTTCTTGTCAGTTGGGTCGGTTCGTTTGTATTGTTCGTTAACAGTTGATTAGGTTCAAGTGTCCAGTGTCTGTTCTCCTTGCTCACATCAGTTCTCCTTCTCCCGAAACAACATTGGAGACATGGCACCGTAAGATAAAGGCGGCGTCAGGGAGGGCTCACCCGAACATTTACAGCTTCATCGATTTGATCATATGGGATGAGGCTTTGACGAGGGTATCTTCGCAGCAGCTTGCAAATAGTGGTGCCGTGAAGGCCAGGGTGCACGAGCGAATCAGCAAGGACCGCAAACTATCAGAACTGGAGTGTCGCCTTTCTGATGGCACGGTTTTCCTGTTCGACTTTCTCACCAAGGCGAAGGCATTTTCCGGTCTATGATGGTTTCCTGTGTGCGCGAGTGTTCAGTGTTTGAAATTATAAAATAAAATAAAATCGCAATCACGTTCCTGTCACCCTGCCTGTCCCTGATTTATCGCTCTTCAAAATATACAGATCACTAATATGAGGTTTTAAAATAACATACGCAAGCACTTTGGGTACAATAAAAATAGCACCGCGATAGCGATGATAATTTTAGCTTATCCAATGTGCTTGTGTATGCAAGACCTCATTATCGTACGTAGCGCGAACAAGCGATCGGTGGTGCTGCTGTTTATTGCATAGAATTAAAAGGTAAGGCTGCCATAAAAACTATTACTGGTTAGCTCGAAGCTCCCACCGCACTGTCAGATTAGGGATGAACGAAGTTCAGTATCGTCGTGATAACGTGACGCCGTTATTCTGTTTTCCCTGGAGTTCGTAAGCCGTGGCCTTCTGGCGATGTCTACACGTAAGCTATTCTCATTCGCCTTTCCAGCCCGCCTTTGTGCGTCTGTTTAGTTCTTCGTACGAGGGTCTGCACTCAGGTGGCCGTCGTTTATTTTCTGTGATCTCCCTTTCACGTTTCACCATGCAAATTATTTTCTTCTTTTTCAAGGCTTGCAAACGAACTTTCTATTTTGGGGCAAAAGCAGTTCCAAAAGAAATGAGTAACTTTTGTAGCAATTATACTGTCTAAAAAGTAATTAATTAAATTATTAAATTACCAGCCTGGAGAAGTAATTTATTACACTACTCATTACAACAAAAAGTAATTGAATTACTGTAATTTCATTACACTAATGTCATTACTGCCATCTGGCTCTAGCTGGCATGTGCTGCCCTTGCTACCGACAGCGCGCGCCAAAGCGCCGCGCCATCCCCATGCTGTGCGTGCTGGGCAGCTGGAAGCTGACAGCATTTTTCAGCCATCAAACTCGCGTCTTTCTGTTCCTACGAAAAATTATATTACCGAGAAAGCTTGGGATGTCAACAGCTATTATAGGCAGTTTTCCGTAGCGCAAGAGCTTTGCGTACGCAAGGAAATTGCGCACCCGGGGTGTGCCTGCGTAAAACGCAAGCAACGGGAGCGCTTGCGTATACTGCGAGCGCCGCGGCCTTTTGTGGGAAGCTCTCGAGAGATCTCGGGCCTTGCGAATGCCTCGAGATCTCTCCATGCTGCATATCCTCACCAGGATATGCAGCATGGGTAACCTATATATTTGCGTTAGCTTCAAAATTAGCTGTAATTTGACTCTTTTACGTGAAGTTCAGCTCGGTATTAATTTCCGGTAGCTAGCGCCGTGGAGTCAGATCGCTGTACACGGCTGCGAGTATACACTGTAAACGTGTTCACCACGCATGTTGTGCGCGAGCTTTGCCATTTGCTCACCGCTAGGCCGTATACGCATCGCGCAGTTCGTATGCCGACGACCGGACGAGCCTCCAAAAAAATTGCCACTCAGCATCGGACATTCGCAGGACATATGCATTTTTTGCCACGATAGCTTTAATAAAAGTTGTAGGGCTGGGTGTCAATTAAACATTGTAAGCCGATCAATGAGCACCCTTTAATTAATTAATTAATCGGGTTCGCTGATTTCCGCGCATAATAATATAAACAAGGAAAAAATATCACTTCTTGCCTTTGCCGACTTTTTTTCTTCTACTAGTTGATGATAGACCATGTACTGTACATACATGTTATCAATTTCAACTTTGATGTGTCTTTGAGAACAGTTCAAAGGGACTTCCAGCTTATTTTTCCACTTTTGGATACAGAGAAGTTCGTGGATATCCTCCGGCAGGAACGAGCTCATTTGCTTGTTCACAATAGTCACTGCTGCGCTGAACAGACACTCGAACGACGTTGAGCTGACCGTGCGCGATATAATCTTATCGCCTTGCTGTGAGTTGCAAACGTCGCCCCTGCAGCTTACATTAAATTCACATTTCACCTAAAGTCTGCCCCTTATATTGGTCCACTCCACCACGTTTTGAATTGTATAATACTGAAGCAAGTAAAAGTGTTGAAAGATACGTCGTGTCCCCGAACCAAGCAACTGCAGATGAGGACACTCGTTAAAGGAAGGTAGAAGGCGGGAATAATTACTTACCCCGAATTCCAGAGTAGAATAAAACGCAAAAGAAAAAAAAAAAAAAATATTTTGTGTTTTTGGTTTTTTCGGTCCAATCCTCTGCCGTTGCTGCGCGCAGTTTTCGGGGGGAGGGGGGGGTCCGGCGAGTTTTTTTAAGGGCATGCGCGGCGTTTGGCGTGAGCCGAGGAAAGGTCACGCCGGGGCCCTGCGACACGTCGCTAATCATGCACACGTGTCGTCTTCACTCTTTGTGTTTTTGCTAGATTGAAGGGTACCTCAGTCGGCGGAATGTAAAAACTTAGCCCCGGGAATATCCAGTCAATTGTCGAGCCAAGGAGTCAGGCTTTTCTGTCGAACCGCCGCCACTGAACGACGCGAAGCGCGGTTCGCCCGTCGACTTTGGGAGAAACAAGAATGTCACAGGTGACTTTCGATGTATAAAATCCATGACCAAAAGCCACCTTTACCTGCTTTGTAGGGGTACATGGCAGTGCTACTGTCCACTTACCGATCAACGGATTATACTCCGCGCTGTGGCCTCAATTGCGGAACCGCTTTCGCCGCAGCGAACGTCACACCTTTCCTTCAAGCACATCATAACTTAATAGCATTCAGTAGCGCAAAGTCGTCGCCAATCGCGAAAGAAAGGTTCACTTTGGACGCTGTCATGTTGTAACTGGACATGACTCGCAATCTCGGGCAGTTTCACGAGCTGCAGCGAAGGCGCACACAATTGGCACACAAAACACACGCACAATTTCCAAAATAGTAAGTTCATGCGACACGCGAACCTGGCTTTGCTTTTGACGTGCGCGCAGTGTGGACTTGCAATTTCTTTGTGCATTTACGCAAAGCTGCACTTTTATACTAAACGCAGATATTATCTGGTCCCTGTGACTCCGCGGTCTCCAGGGTCCGATCTAGTTCAGCATCAAATCTCTTTAGATAAGAGCAGCGCATGCGCTTCCTAAAATAACTGACAACTTACAAGCAAATGGAAACGGCGGTATGCATAGCAGTAACGGCTTAACAGATAACATGGCAGTACAAGGTAGAAGAAGCGAAGGGGACTCCAAATGTGACTGGTCACGCGCGCCGCTTTGAGGTATTTGTTACGGCCGCGTATTGTATCTAGATAATCAAGAGACAGATGCGCCCCCTGGCGCAGCAAGCGCGGAGAGCTCGCCTTTCAGCAACGCCCAGAAGGACAGCACGGCCATGTCAGCATCGAACGATACTCTGCTGGACTGCATCCTCGTCCACAAGCTCGGCAACAACAGCCAGGCCCGATGCCTGCTGGTTCACGACCTGGATGACTGCGACGCGGGCCGTGCGCTGCTGCCCTACATCGACTTCCTGTACTGCTGGTCGACGTGGGGGTACTGGCCCTTGGCACTGCTGTCCCTGTGGCTGGTCACGCTTCTCGTTGCCCTCGGATCGACTGCCAGCTCGTATTTGTGTCCAGCGCTGGTCGTCATCTCCAAGTCTCTACAGCTCTCGCAAAGCGTCACCGGTGTCACGCTGTTGGCCTTTGGTAACGGCGCACCTGACACCATAGCCACGATCGCCAGCATTGGGCGCAACCGAACGGAACTAGCCATTGGCGAACTTTTCGGCGGTGGAACGTACGTGGCGACCGTGGTCGTCGGGCTTATTTTCATCAGAAATGACTTCGACGTGATTTCGACCTCCCTCATGCGAGACATTGTTTTCTACCTGACTGCATCGTACTGGGCTTTTGCGCTCTATCTTCAAGGGTATGTTACTGTGATCCATGCGGCCGGTTTTATTGCACTCTACCTCGTTTACATCACAGTAGCCGTGTTCAGTTCGAATATTATTGCCATGTACTACCAGGTCAAGCTGAGAATCGTTTCTCTTTGGCAGCAACGATCGCTCAGCCCCAGCAATTCAAGTAGAGGCTCAAGCAGTATTGCTCGCATCAGTCCCGACAGCGCCCTGGAAAGCGCCCAAGACAGTGCCCCAGACAGTGCCCCAGACAGTGCCCCAGACAGTGCCCCAGACAGTGCCCCAGACAGTGCCCCAGACAGTGCCCCAGACAGTGCCCCAGACAGTGCCCCAGACAGTGCCCCGAACAGTGCTCCGAACAGTGCTCCGGACAGTGCTCCGGACAGTGCTCCGGACAGTGCTCCGGACAGTGCTCCGGACAGTGCTCCGGAGAGCGTCACAGACAGTTCCCCGGAAAGTGCCCCAGACAGTGTCCTTGACAGCGTCACAGATAGTGGCCTGGACTGCGCCATTGACTGCGTAGTCCCCGAGAATGCCCCCCAAAACGTCCCCGATAATGCTCCTGGCGATTCCGCGGAAGCAGAGGACATTGTCGCGATTCCAGTTCCGTTTGTGCAGAGGCCCCGGTTGCGGCGCTCGTCTTCCGGCGTGAGCTTGCACCACCACCACGAGAACGCCATCTACTTCTTCACCACATCTGTTGAAGAGTCCTGCGCACGGCCGCAGAGGGTCTCTCCACCGCGTGCGCCGCACCTCGAGCTCTCATCCCGCCACGGCAGCAGCTCGATTTCGTCCAGTGGAGAAACGATGCCGCTTCTCGGCACGGCGGAGCAAAGAATTGAGAACGGACAGTGGAAAGAACTACTACTGCAGCTGTCGCCCATCGAACCGCGTGAGTGGAACACCAAGCCACTATGGAGCAAGTTGTACGACATGTTCACTCTGCCCATCCACTTGGTCCTAGTGCTGACGATACCCGTGGTGGACCCCGAGAACCGGCTTGCGAATTGGTGCCGTCTTTTGAACGCTTTTCAGTGCGTCACCAGTCCGATCCTGGCACTCTTACTGTTCCGAGGATTTTTCCTCCGCCTGGGAGGCCTCGTCCCCCTGTGGACGATTGCACTCGTACTGGGATCGATCCTGGCCACAGCCGTCCTGGCCACATCCGTGCCTCACGAGCCCCCGAGCTACCATTGTGCATTTGCTTATGCGGGCTTCGTCGTGTCTGTCGTCTGGATATACGGTATCGCCACTGAAATCGTGGCGCTGCTGAAGACTTTCGGCGTGTTCTACGGCATCAGCGACATGCTTCTAGGCATGACCGTACTGGCTTGGGGAAACAACATCGGAGACCTGGTGACCAATTTGTCGTTGTCTAAGCAAGGCTTTCCCCAGATGGCAATGGCGGCCTGCTTTGCCGGTCCGGTACTAGCTTTGCTGCTCGGCATTGGAGTGGCATTCAGCATAAACTTCACTACGTGGGGCCTAGAGATGATCAAGTTGCCGTATAGCAACTTTCTTCTGGTGATCTATTTTGTTCTTGTGGTCATGATGCTTCTGCTCCTCTTCTCTTTGGTCCTCACACGGTTCCGTTCCTCGCGGGCCGTAGGCATAATGCTCATCGTTCTTTATGTTAGTTTCCTGATCACTACCTTCCTGATCGAGTTCACCTACTTCCCAGTCGTTGTCAAATTATTCAGCCCCTTCCGTCGCTGATGCAAAGAGGGTAGGTGCCTGGGAGCTGTTTGGCGTCTAAAAGCTGTGAATCGAGGACTTGCTGGCTTTCGGACACTCGAGAGTTAAGACTCCCTGTCAGTGAGTGGTTGATATGGCTGTGGTAGGCCTTCGGAGCGATGCATGATCGATCCCTACGCATCGTTTCCATTGAGTTTCCAAGAACTCGTTATATGCCACCTTCAACTTGTATTCTGTTTCTGTTGCTTTTTACTTTTTTAAGCATGCTCACTACAATTTTCCTTTTTTTTTTTTCTCCCGTTTTTATTAAATTCGGCGGTAACTGCAACATATGCCGAGCACGTTAAACGTGCGATCCTGCCGAACATTTCCACAGGATGTGTTTTTAATCTCGTCGGCTTTTTGGCAGTTGCCAGTTGAATAGTGACGTGCCCGTCGCTGGCAGACGTTCGCATATAATAGCATCTTTGCCATCTACTATATTTCTGCCGCGGCTGTTTGTATTGTTTTATATTGCCACTATTTCTTTAGTGTGTACCTAAGAAAATGTATCGAGGTTTTGAACGACGTGCATCTGAAGATAGGAACTGCGGGAACGTTTACACCTGTTTTATCTGCCAAGGTCAGAACACGCGCCGATAAATTATGCGAGTAAGCACGAAACCGAAGATGCACAAAAATAAAAACTGTACACCACTTTCATTCGACTGTTGTCTCTTCATTGTGACGTGCATGAAAATGGCTGTTTCATCGAGCCTTTGTTTCAGACAGCTGTGTGTAGCCCGGCCTTATCCTTGTATTTCTTTTTTTTTAATAACAAATAAAAACCGAAATGCTACATCGCCTGTTTTTTTTTTGTTTTTTTTTTTTTTTTTGGTAGTGCCTACTGCGCCTTTGCAGAAGAGAATTAGTGTTAATTCACTTAAAGTGTTCCCACTTGTTACCGAAGCAAGCATCGTACCAAATACCCTGCAACACAGTCCAAAGTACAAAATTACACTATTTACATTAGTGTGCAATATGTTAATCCTATTTACGCATAACAACGTATACATTTAAGGGCAAGAGCATTGAGTACTGCGTAATATTCACTGAAGGGGCCCCGAGACAAGTTAGATTCCAGGAACATTTCGCGCGTTAAAAACTAATTTATCACGATATCATACAACCAATGCAGGGATGGGCAAAATACATGCAAATATGTATCGAAATACAAATGCAAAATACTTCGTCAAAAATGTATTTAATTACAAATCTAATTACATTTCCAAAAAAAGCATTTAAATACAAGATACAAATACAACCAAATGTATTTGGTCTCCTCCAAATACTTTTCCAAATACATTCCTCAAAATCTGCGTCAGCGACTTCAGGGCACCTGCAACGGGTTTCTGGGTATCTCACTTTACTTTTGCATCGCACACTCGGGAGTTAGTGTGCCAGGCTCTAGTAACGTAATAGAATTATGATCACAAAAAAAGAAATGTAATCAGCTTGGACGTAATAGGTGAAAAAAGTACAGAGGTTCAAGCAGCATTTTTTGTCGATTACATTTTGGTAGAGACCAATAAAGAACCGAGACGACCAACACGCGCATCACTAGCTAGATAATCTTTTATTGTTAAAATTCGCACCAGTTACGAAAATCTGGACTACCCGCGCATTTAGAATGTTCCAGGCAAAAATATGGATGGAAATCAGGCTGGAAAGCATCACAAGTTGTCACAGGCACTTATTCAGCCAGTCTGCCTGTGAACGTCACTTTCGTCACTATTCTTGCCCTGGACTAGCACCGTAATCACAAAGTCACTAAACGCTTGTGCTTGATTGAGAGACGCTGCGTTCGGTGCAGAACGTAGTTCTCTTCCTGCTCTGGACAGTGACAATAAATTTGAGGGATGTATTTTCGCCCACGAAATTGTATTCAATTACAATTGTATTTGAAATACCTACGTTTTAGTATTTAAATACACTCGTCAAATACATTACCCAATTTGTAATTAAATACAAATGCCAAATACACAAAGTATTTGAAATACGTATTTTAAATACTTGTATTTGAAATACTCAACATCCCTAAACCAATGTATACTATTACACAAGGTGTTTCTCGAAGCCAAAGTCCAATCGTTCCAGGTAAAAATACGCATCGCACAGTACAAAGGTTAAGTCGTATTCTCTCTGCAAAAGGGCCCGATTTGGGAAAATCAATAACAGTCCGTATAATTAGTTAATTAAAACGTTCAAGTAATTAACTCTTTACTTAGTGAAGTAACACGCATGGTTTCAGTTAGAAACTTACTGATTGGCATCGAAAAAATGAAAGACGTTTATAACACCCTGTGACGCCGAATTGGAGCGCAGCTCTTGAGGAGAAGGCGGGAAGGGTACTCAGGGTAGGGTATACCCCTCCTCCCCTCCTTCTCCTTCCCCTCTTCCTCCTCACCCTCATAGCCCTTCCTCCTCCCCCTTCTCCGTCTCCTCCCGCTCCTCCTCATCCCCTCTTCCTCCTCCTCCCCCCTCCACCCCTCCCCCTCGTCCTCCTCCCCCTCCAGGCGCAGCCGGCGCTACGTGATGATAGGACCAAGCAAGAAGCGTCAAAAGCGCAAGTCACTATGCCTTTCATGTACATTATTGGTGCAGCGATAATAGAACACGTACTACATAAACGATGAACAGCAAGATGGTGCGCTTTTCACGTTGTCGGATTAGTCTCATCAGCTCGTAGCGCCGGCTGCGTCTAGACTTAAGATGAACCGAGGTGGAGGATGAAGGAAACTGCGCTTTCAAAAATAAAACTAAAAGGTTTAAAAAATCTGAAGTGCCACCTGGTAGAATAAGTAAAAGACTCGATTTTTTTTGTTGTTGTTGCAAATTTGGCCATATTTTTATAAACTGTCAAGTTTGTTCGCACTGCTAATATTTTTCAATTTTTAAAACGATTACAAACTATTTTTAGAAAACTAAACTTATTTCAATCTTTCATTCTTATTTTTTTACAAATGGCTAACTTGCCACCCCGTCTAATTTTGACTCAATTGTCGAAGAAACTGAACCGGTAAGTGCTACGACATGAAGCGACCATCATGTAGCTTCAAACATTATCCAGCTGAAGATATATTGTTCGTGTAGATGAGTTTGATTACATTATTTACATCTTGTTCCAAACTGGCTAAAACTCTTTAAAATTTTGGCATTTTTGAGGCAAATTTCTTTAATGCCGTTATTTATTTTTTTATTTACGTTTTTGTGTCGGTTTTTTATTCACAAAATAAAAATATTGGTTGACGTTTTCTATTTGTATTTGCGAGACAACCAGGTAAATAGGCCTCTGTTTAGCTTCAGCGTGGCCTTGAGCCAGCAGGGGCGCTGTTAGGATCACGCCGGCTCTACACGCCGGAAGAGATAATAAACTTGTAGCGAGTTGAACGCTGTCCGTGTCTGACGTGTTTTTGTGCGTCCCTTGTTTCCTTTTGCGTTCGCATACTAAGATAAAATTTTGAGATATGTGAGGTCCATTTGTAAGAAGAATTCAATATACACTTTATTCTAACTTTTGTAATGGATTGCCCATAAGATACAAAATATCAATGCATATAAATATTGTTGACCTTGTTTTGTTGTGTTCTCACGACAACCAGTTAAATATGCGGCTTTTTGACTTGAGTCGCAATTTTCGATTCTGGAATGCTGGCTTTACCGCAAAGCTCTTGGTAAGCTCAATAATAACAAATAAAAAAAATAAAAAAAAAGAAAACATACTTTACCATGGTGCATTTTTTATTCATCTTTCTCACAATATCAGGCGTAATCATAAGACATCATCGATAGCTAGAATGGAGCATTTCGTTCACTTAGGTCGCTTGTAATCCATGGCGAGTCAGTGATCATACTTTGAACTCTGGTAGAAGAGCATTTTATTTATTATAATAATCTTCGAAATACTACACGACGAGGAGAGATGCACAAAAAATACAAGAAAAAAAAGGCGAATGAATCACACATGTAGCGGGTTAACGCGGACGTCGTTGTCCTGTATCATTTACGTGCGGCACTTAGTAAACAAGTATGATAACCCAGTTTGCAATGTAAATGACATCACATGGAATAAAATTAGGTTCGCGATTATAAAAAGAAAGAAGTAATGTACCCCTTAGTTGCGCACATCAAACTTGCTTGCAGCCAAGGTCCAGACTGTAGTAAATATGAATGGCGAAAAGTAAACTATCGGCTAAGGCCAATGCCATGAACCACATATCGGTGCGCAACAATAAATGAAAGCTATCTCGGAGTAATTTGTTCGTGTAGGTAATGAGGATTGAATGAGTTAAATACTGATTCTAAGCTTCTAATTTTAATTGAAAAAATAAAATTTTTGAAGTCTCTAATTTTGAAAAACAATATTTGATTGAACTTTTCCCCTCTATTGCAACGTCGTTGTTAACAAGGAACAGTAAATATTGTATGACCTTTTTTGTATTCGTTCAAACGGACATCTAAATTCAGCTCTACTGTGTAGTCCGTGAACCTTACTCCGACATAATTGCTTCATAGATTGTTAGAAAAATCTTTAAAAAGAAAAAAAAAAGAAAAAGAAAAGAAAAAAAAAAACACGAAACAGCTAGGTATAGACCGACACGCGGAGCGGCTCTGTTTACCAACGCGGCCGGAAGGCCGCGCATGCGCGGTAGCTATGTGGGCAAAAGCACCCCGGCTCTCCGTGTTTTCGCCATTGCGCTCTATGGCGTGAGCTCGTTGTTGACGTTGTAGGGACGCTTGTATCTTTATTTGTGCGTCGTATTTTCTCATAACGTATGTCGTATGCTATGCCTGACTATTTGAGCTCGTTGCCGAGCCTGATCGGTAGCGGTATCGAAACAAACTGTGCGTGGACGGCGTTGCCTACGAGGATCCGTACGCCGTAAACAAGGCCTAGGTGCTGGATTTCCGACGTAAAGTTGCTGCCACGGAAGTCGACGGCTCATGTCGTCGTTTATTTAGTTTTTGCCAAGTCAGTTCACGGCCGACACGGTGAAGGCCTACAAGTCTCTCGAGGCCTACGATTATATCGAGTTGGTTTCCGCACTGCCGGCGGGATCAGCAGACTATGGGTCTGCGGAAGTGTGTGTATTCATTAATTGATTAAATACACAGAGCGTCTTAAAGTCAAGGTATGATATTTTTCATACCCTCATGACCACAAGGCATTACAACCAGTAAAGGTTTGTCCGTTCTGCAGTCTTGGCGGTAACAGGTTACAAGTAACGGCGTTAGCAGGACCGCGTTACTTTTTTCAGTAACTTAGTAACCTACTCGTTACGTTTTTGACACAGTAATGGGTAACGTACTTATGTTACTATTTCAAGTAACGTAGTTACGTTAGTCGTTACTACTTCCCAAGTCTTAAAGAAATTACACTTCAATTGTTTCCGTGTTTTAGGCGTCAAGCCATGATTTCTTTGCGTTTTTTCTCGTGTAAGTATTTAGGTGAAACCGTAAAAAGAGATAAAGTATTTATGTTCAGCTTCTGCTTGATATATGACCTGTATCGTCAAAACCATAAAATGTGTTTAATCATATTTTAAAAAGGTAACGCAGAAGTAACGTGCCTTACTTTTTATCGGTAGCGGTAACGCGTTCCTTTTATTTTTAAATAACGTAGCGCAGTAACGCGTACCTTTTATTTGCAAGTAACGAGTGACGTATTTCGTTACTTTTTTTCGGTAACGCCTACAACACTGCCGTTCTGTCGCCGTTCCCCTTCTGCTGGGTAGCACGGGCGTAACGAGCCTCCGACGAGCGGTTGGCCGGTGCGTTGTGCGCGAACACT